CCTCTCAGTAAGAGCCCAGTGTGGCCCCAGTCACACCTTACACAATGCCATTTACCCCTGCTGTGGTCCCAGTTGCTCCCAGTATAAGTCCAGTCACCTCCAGTATGATCCCAGTTACTCCCAGACACTCCCAGTACTATGCCAGTCACTCCAAGTGTCACCCCATCAGTCCCAGTATAATCCCAGTATGACCCCAGCATGGGCCAGCTGCTCCCAGTATGATCCCAGTTGCTCCCTGCATTATTCCATTTCTCCTCTTCATGCCTACCACAGATCTGATCACTCACAGTATGATTCCAGTCAGTCCCAGGATGATCCAAGCCATTCTCAGTCCCTCCCAGTATATCTCAATTGTCCCCTGCATGCTCCCAGTAGCCCTCAGTGCTGGCCCCAGTATATCCCAGTATGGTCCCTGGTGCCCTAGTTCTGCTCCCACTGAGTTCTTTTCACAGTCTGTTCCTGTCCATCCCAGTCTGTCCCAGTCCCTCCCCAGCAGCTGCTGCCAGATTCCCAGATTTCCCAGATCCTTCCCCCACCCCCACCCCATTCCCGGGCACTGGGATCCCCCAGCACCCCCTTATCCTGCACCAACACCCCCCTGCACCCCCTTTCCCGGGTATCCTCCTCTCCCAGCCCCTGGATCCCCCGTTTCTATGACCCCGGGGACCCTCGGGGCCCCATTCCCAGCCAGCCCGGGGCACCTCAGCCCCAGCCTCCCTTTGCTGGGAAACCCGGCCTGAGCACGGGGCTCTGCGGCCGCTCTGGGATTTGTGATCCCCCAAAGGAAAGGGAGAGAACAGCAGAGGGAGAGAGAGAGGAGGAGATTGGGAATCAGGGCTCGGGTCCCAGCGCCCAGCCCTGCTCCGCCGGGGGTGGGACCCGCACCCGCAGGAAAAATTGGCTCCGCTGCTCGCGGTGCTTTCCCGGCTTTGGGCCGAGCCCAACGGGGTCCGGGCAGAGTTTGAGCGCAGGGCCGGGAGTTCAGCACAGCCCGGCCCGGGGGTTTCGTAGGGAGCGGCCCTGGAGGGTCCCAGGCGGATCCCGAGGGATCCAGAGGGGGGCCAGGAGGGGATCCAGGTGAATTCCCTGGAATTCGCCCTTTTCCCCTCCCCCTTTTCCCCTCCCCCCGCGCTCCTCGGGCACTTTCGCTTTCGCGTCTCTCCAGCAGCGCCACAGCCGCGATCGGGGACGGCTGCGATGGCTCCAGCGCTGGGGCTGGGGGTGCTCGGGCGGCTCCGGGGGCTCCTGGGGAACCCGGGGGGCGCGACCAAAGGTGAGTGGGAACCCCGAAACCAGGAACCCTCTGAATTTCCATGATCGGGCACCGAGACCCTCCTGAACTTCTATTACCGGGCACGGGAACCCCCATAGCCCGATTTTGGGTGCTGTAAGCCCCCTCAATCCCCTTCTTCAGCACCGGCACCTCCCTGTACCCCCTCATCTGGCACCAGGACCCCCCTGAACTACCATTCCTGGGCACTGGGACACCCCTGAATCTCCATTTTTGGGCACCGGGATCCCCCTGCATCCCCGTCAGTGTTCTGGGACGTCCCTGCCCCCCTTTTCGGGCATCCCGCCCTTCCCAGACCCCAGACCCTTTGGACCTTTTCCTTGGTCTTTGGACCTCCCAGAATTCCCAACTTTCCGTGTCCCCTCCGTTTTCCACTCCCACCGCTTCCCGAAACGGGGTCCCAGAGGGAGCCTGGGGTCTCAGGGGGTCGCAGGGGGGATCCAGATGAACTCCCTGGAATTCCCCGTTTCCCCCGTCCCCTCCCCACCGCGTTCCCTCGGTCTCTTTCTCTTTTCCGTCTCCCAAGCTGCGTCCCCGGGATCTGCCCGCCTCTCCGAGCCCCAGACCCCCCTTCCCGTGACCAGGGACCCCCTGGAGCCCCATTTCTGCCTTTCCCAGCTCCCAGACCCCATTTCCCTCAACACCGGGGACCCCTGGACCCCCTTTGGTGGGCACAGGGACCCCCTGGATCCCCCATCCCACCTCTCTCAGTCCCTTCATTGGACCTTGGACCCTTCCAGGCTCTCCCAGTGACGCTTCCTGACTCTTGGACACCCCCAGACCCCCCAATCTCTGCGTCTCCCCAGTTCTCCACCCCCTGTGTCCTGCTGGGGGGAGGTTCGTGGGGGTCCTGAATTTTCACTTCTGGGTACCAGGACCCCCCTGCACTCCCTTATCCAGTACCAATCCTCCCCTGCACCCCGTTTCTCATCCATCCTGCCTTCCCCAGTCCCCCCCTTTTCCTTGACCCTGAGACCCCCTGGACCCCCATTCCTGCTTTTCTCAGCTCCCAACTCCCCTTTCCTCTGCATCAAGGACCCCTGAGCCTCCCATTCCCAGCTCTCTCCACCCTGTGACCCCTTTCCTTGGCACTGGGGATCCCTGGACCCCCTTTTCTTGGCACAGGGATCCCCTGGAACCCCCATCCCACTCTCCCAGTCCCTGCACCTCCTCTCCCCTTCCGTAACCCTGGAACCCCCTGAGCCCCCATTCCTGGACACCAGGACGCCCTGCAGGCCCCTTCCTGTCCGTCCCACCTCTCCCACCCTGCACACCCTTTCCTTGGCCCCAGAATCCCCAAGCCCCTTCCCAGCTCTCCAAGTTCCCCTTTCATTGATCCATGATCCCCTCAACCCCCCCATATCTCCGTGTCCCCCCAGTTCTCCACTCCCTGCGTTTCCTGGATGTGGGGGTGTCAGAGCCCAGTCCGGGGATCTCCCAGTACATGCAAATGGGGTTTGTGGATGGGATCCCCTTTGAGCGCTACGACAGCGAGCGGGGCCAGCTGGAGCCGCTGACGCAGTGGATAAAGGATGGAGTCGAGCCAGAATATTGGGAGTGGGGGACCCAGATCGATGTGGGGAACCAGCACGTAGCTGCCAGGGGCCTGGAGATACTGCGGGAGCGGTACAACCAGAGCAGGGGTGAGTGGGAGGACCTGTGGGGCTGAGATGGGGATCCATGGGGCTGGAATGGGGATTCATGGGGCTGAGATGGGATCTATGGGGACAGGTTGGGATCCATGGGGCTGGAATGGGATCTGTGGGGCTCGAATGGGAACTGCAGAGCTGGGGTGAAGATCCATGGAGCTGGAATGGGATCTATAGATCTCAGATGTGGATTCACAGGACTCCAAGGGACTGAAAATGGGGATCCATTAGGTTGGGATGGGATATTTTGTGATCCATGGGCTGGGATATGGATCTGTGGAGCTGGGATGGGATCAATGGGACTGGGATGGGATCTGTGAGGCTGGGTTGGGATCCATAGGGTTGGGATGGGGATCCATGGGGCTGGAATGGGATCTATAGGTTTCAGGTGGGGACTTACAGGGCTCCAAGGGGGTGAAATGAGAGTTCATTAGGCTGGGATAGAATATCTCATGATCCATGGGTTGGGAATCGATCCATGGAGGTGGGAGATCTGTGGGGCTGGCTTGGGATCCATGGGGTTAGGATGTGGATCCATGGGGCTCCAAGGGACTGGAATGAGGCTCTGTGGGTCTCCATCAGACTCTGGGGCTCAATAGGGCTGGAATGGGGCTCTGTGGGGCTGGGACACAATTCCATGGGTCTCTGTGGGTACGATCCCCCCAGGTCTCCACACCATACAGTGGCTTTCTGGCTGTGACCTCCTGTCTGACGGGAGCATCCATGGGTCCCACCAGATTGGCTACGATGGGCGGGATTTCATCTCCTTTGACCTGGAATCCGGGAGATTCGTGCCAGCCGACAGCGCTGCTGAGATCACCAGGAGGCGCTGGGAACAGGAAGGGACCGAGGCTGAGAGGCACCTGAATTACCTGAAGCATGAATGCCCGGAATCGCTCCGGAAATACATCGGATACGGGCAGAAGGAGCTGGAGCGCAAAGGTGGGAACGGAATTCCTCTGAGGGATTTGAGAATAGAGAACTTGGGAACATGGGAATTCCTGTGGGAATTCCAAGGGTAGATCTTCTCTCCATCCCATTCCCATGGAATTTCAAGGGCAGATCTCATCTCCATCTCATTCCTGTGGGAATTCCATGGGTAGAACTCGCCCC